ATATCTTTTACTAAATAAAATTTCTTTTTATTAGAAAATTATCGTTTTTATCAATATAAAATAAAAAGGAGATTTTATAAATGAAGATATTTCGTCCCTACTTTTTTATTATTTTTATTTTATTACTTTATTGTAAAAACTTTACGCCATTTTTATCTTTTTAAATTTGTAAATCAGAGATTTTACGAGTGGAGAAGCGTTAATTAAATAACTTTAAATAAAAATTAAAGTAAATTTTGCTTATTTAATTTATTAAAAATAAAATCGGAATTACCAATCGTAAAGATAGGATTGAAGCGATGTAAAATTCCTTATCTGATGAGGCATTCTTCTAAAATTTCATACGTTTTACTTAATAATATACACTGAAATTTTCTAATTTCGATTAAGTTTTAATTCAAATTTATTAATTATCAATGCTTATTCGAGTGTATTATCTCGAGAACAATTTTTATTTATTTTATCATAAAATATTACAATAAAAATTTTATAATTAACGTTATAATTTTTCTCGTTTTATTGGTGATAATTTTAAAATTTAAATAATTAATAAAATAATTATAAATTTTACAAAATTAATGAAATAATTATTGTAATTATACAGTGGCGCCATCTGTCGTGACGAAATCAATTTATATTGTAATCGCGAGTCGATTTTAAAATTTTAAACCTTATCGCAAGAAAATTATTTAGTAAAATTGTTTTATTTTTTTAAAAATATTTATTTTTACTTTATTTTCCGATTTTAAAAAATAAAATTTACATAATTTATTTCGTAAAAGCAGTATTTCAAAATGTATTTCAAAAATTCGATTTGCAAAATTGATCAGATGGAAGAAATTTTAATTAATTTAAGTACGTTGCATTTTATTTTCTCTTTGCTATTTTATATATTTTAATTAATGATTTTTTTGAATTTTCAAGTGATAAAACATAAATATTAAAATTAAAAATCCAATAAAACAAAGTCAACACGTGACATTCTTTTCAGATATTAAAAGATGCCACAGCATAGAATAAAAATATTACTAATAAACAATACAATTTTACATGTTAAAATTCTCTGTTTCGAGAAATCTGTTATTGTCCAGCAATTCTTTTATTTGCATGTCTATCCCCTCTTCCTTTGTTTGCTAGCAGCTTTCAGAATCTATTCTTGGAGAGGGAAGAAAATTGCCAAACTGCAGGAGACGGGTTTTGTCCATTACTGCACCTTATATAGGATTCTAGAGATTATAATCTGAAATTGTAGATCCTTATCGATAAATTTCCTTTATCTAGATAGAGGGGATTTCCTAGATGATGCGACGTTTATAAATTCTAAATTGATTCTCTCTCTTCTTTATTTTTTTTAAATTTTTAATATATATTCCGTTATCGTCACCAAGCCCAGATAGAAGGAATGCTAATACAGTCATTTAGTAATGTCCTCGAAACAAAGGGGCTCCGAAAATAAGCAGTGAAAAATCTGCTATTATATGTTTTATAGATTTTACTCATACATTTTATGGCTTTCGAGAGAGAGAGAGAAGTGGACCCTATGTTTGTGATTAAATCACCACTCTCGAGCCTTGATTATCATAAATAAATTTTCACGTAATGTGAACGTTTTTTTGTTTAAATATATATTTTTTTAAATACACGCGTTGGAAATTTTTCCATTGATCAAAGCTGTAAATCTAGCATAAAAGTGTCGTTTTTTGATATAAAAGTTTGCGTGAAAAATGAATGTCTTTTCTCCCTCACTTTTTTTTTCCCTGTGAAATCGTTGATATATGATCCTAACAAAAGCCGAAAATTCAGTTTAGAAAACTATGCTGAATGGTTTTTGAAATTTTAAAATACTTCTAATAGTCATAAAAGCGTAGGGGGTACAATAACAGGTCTTAAAATTACAACTGCCATTAACTATAAGAGGTGTTGCAACTGCACTCTTGAGACAACCCGAGGCCCTAGTTAAAAATATAGACAGCTTAAGCTTCGCCTGGGGCCTTGCACTTTTAGACTTCAAACACACACTTAACAATTGCTTGTCAAGTCTTGTCCTGTTTTCAAAATCCAATCTTTGTATAATGTAATTGGCAGCAGGCCTTCTACATTACAAGCCTTTATTGTTATAAGAGACTCGCAAGGCACGATTGCTTATAGTCTGGTGCAATCTATTTTAAATATTTGTGCAAAAAGTGCATATTATTATTATTATTATTATTATTAAATGAATTTTCGAAAAATAAATAAATAATAATTATTATTTAAAGATAATTTTTATTAATATAAATACTCTGTTTAAATTATAAATTATATAAATATTTGAATAAATGCTGATAGATAAATCTTACATGCAATAAGGATGAGCTGGCAACCTGTTATTGTAAATGTATTTTTGACGAATCATGTAATTTATTACAAATTCGTCATAAAATTCAAGATTATTTTAAGCGTCAGGAACATTAAACGATTTTTAATGTAATGATTAATTTGTAAATTTTCCCTCAAAATTAATAATATTGGAATGTTTTTCTTACATTTGAACGTTTATTATAAATTTGTATTTTATTTTGACGAATCAAATCGTTTGTTTCATGCCCTTTATAAATGCGAGACTATTCTAGAATCATAGAGATGTTACGTACAAAAAAATACTTCGATTAATCTGTATTTTTTCCTTCGATATTAATATAATTGCAAAATTTTTCTTATATTTTAAATAATTTTTCGTTCTTTATGTCGATGTTTATGACCACATTAGCAATACGTTGTGGAAAGTCGACATCGAAATTCTGAGCAATGAGTTGTCATTTCTCAAACGATAATGATTATTGTAGAAGCTGATTGGTCTCCACTAGATTGCGTCACGATTTAATCTAAAATATTTTATAAGAGAAATGTTTATTATATATTATACAACATTATTTATTTCGTAAACATTATAGTTATAAATAGCCGAAATTATAATTTAGTTTAAATTGTTTGAAAATTTATTATCGAGTGCCATCTGTTGATGATTATTAAAAACATATGACAAATCTCAAGCAACAGGTTTGGATTTTTATCAAATAAGCTTCTATTTTAAAATATATTCAATTTTTATTAGTCAATAAAATATTAAAATAAAATAAAATTTAAATTATAATTATTATTAATCGACATTAAATATATATATTTCTCTCTTCTAAATCAATTTCCTAAATAATAGGAAGTGGAGTCATCTGGTGCACGGAAACGGAATTAATTTATTATGGCCGTAAAAACAGATTTAAAATTTGAAGATAAATTTATAGCATTTCTAAATAGTTTAAACACAGTCTTAAGTTATCATTAATAATGATAAAAATAGAAAAATAACGATAATAAATTTGATTAAAGACAGGAAGATAAAATTTTAAACTGTCCTTTCCCTAATAAATCGAAGAAATAAACAATGAATAAGGATCTTATTTGTACAGGAATCTGCTTCGACCAAAGAAAGAGCAGTAACTTATCTGTTGTCGAGCTAAATTTTTATATCACGCCATTAAGAATTAAAAGATAAGGGCAAGAAACGATATAAAGTCTTAACAGATATATATAATATTTCTTTTAAACATTTCACCGTCTCTGATAAGAACGAGTCAAAGGTAGCTAAATATATCTGATTAAAAAATAAAAAGATAATTTTTGTATAGTTTAGATATAATATCACTTATTTTTCTTCGATTCGATTAAATGAATAAATACATTGAAATTCAAAATTCAAAAATTCAAATTTAAAAAACGTCATTTATAAAATGCGCCACCTTTGGACAAATCATTATTTTTTTAATTATTTCATTTTTTAATTATAAATGCCACTTTTTAAAATAACTCTATTTTTTCGGTTAATTAAAACGGCATATAAACATTATTTAGGATATAAATCATTCTAATTTTTAAATTTTTTTTTTTATTATCATCATCAATTTTTACCTTAGTAATTCAATGACTCATTATAATCTTATCGTAATAGCAACGTTACACCTGTTTCGTTTCAGGAATATTGCATTCTAATCTGAAATTTCTTTAATAACTCCAATCATAAATAAAACGTCTGCATATTTGTTTTTAAATTATGTAAACATTTATTACTTTATTATTGTTTAATCCATGTTAGGGTCGATTGCGAGTAACGAGTATTTGTTAAACGAGTCGTGTTACGTACTTATATAATTTAAATTATTTAATTTTACATTAAGTAACTTATTAAATCGTTATTATTCTTTTCAAATTTGCAAAAATACTTTTCGTTGACGAGCGACAGATGGCGCCCTTAGATTTAGCGTAACTAAATTTGTGGAATAATTTTCGGGCAGAATTACCGGGATGAGAGAGAGAGAGAACGGGAGGGGAAAAAATTGTGTTTATTGGTTGAAAAGTGTGAGAACACATCATCTATCTACACAAGTCCTACGATGACACTGTAGATTACATAGCAAGTAGAAATTACACATCTGCCGAGCGTCGAGGATCATCTTACTGCACTAAGCCGCGCTAGAAGTTGGGAACAGATTTCCCACACTGCTTCACTAACAAAAGGACCTGTTCACTTCTTATAACTCCGCAAGTATCCCCCTCTCGATGGGGCAATAAATATCTCTCCTTTCCCCACTTATTCAATGCGGTCTTCCACTAATGTAATGCGAACTTTCTTTCACAAACTTTTTTTTTTCTTCTTTCGCTTCTACTTTCTTTTTTTTATATTATTTTATTTTTTGTCTTTTTTAAAGCCAGTTAATAAACCAAAGAATTTTTAAAATAAATAAATATACACGTCAATCGTAAAAAAAAAAATGTTTTTTTTTAATTCAAAACACTTAATCAACTTATTTATCGCGAGAGGGCATGAGTTGCAAAAATGACGTATTTAAAAAAAAAAAAAAAAAAAANATTATTTTATACTTTTTTTTCTTTTTTTTTTTAATGTGAAAAAACGCAACCAAGTTGCTTTGTAAGAAAGTTTCATGGTCACGTGAGAGGTGGTAACCAATAGAAGACGGCCGGGTTAAGTCGGCAGCGATTGGTTGCCGCTAGATTAGGCTCCTCCCGCTGGAGGTGACGTCAAGTGTTTATCGTAGAGAAGCGAAGCTAGAAAAGTTGGCAGTGTGTCGGTCGTAAAAGCACTAAGGAGTCGAAAAGGAGCTTCGATTCTACGCATTCTGGCTGTTGTGTGTGTGTGTGTTTTTTGTTTTTTTCTACACTGACAACAATGTCTACGGCATTGGTCTCCCCTATGTACGACTTCGGGGATGTGATGTACAAGGTGAGTTTGTTTTTATTTGGATTATTCTTACGGTTTTTTCTCTCTCAATTTCATGAGGAATTGGGTTAGTAAGACGCTACGCCGAATCAACAAGTGTATTCGGTCCCTGGCCTTTACGGTTGTTATTTCAACTCTTTCTTTCGCAGACCAACAATCTTACAACGCACAAAGAAACATACTTTCTGGATCGAAAAGCCACCATGAGTTTCCTGTCGTCTCATCGAAGGATCACAGCTTCACCACCTTCACCAAAGTCTCAACATCAGAAAGGATCATCATCCAAAGATCGAAAGCTCGATAGGAGTTTAAGCGAATCGGCAGCAAGTCAACAGCAACAACCCAGGCCAAATCAAGCGAATTCGAGTCGTTACAAGACCGAATTGTGTCGACCATACGAAGAAAACGGAACATGTAAGTACGGTGACAAGTGTCAGTTTGCTCACGGTGCCCAAGAACTACGTACCTTAGCGAGACATCCCAAGTACAAAACAGAACTGTGTCGCACCTTTCACAGTACAGGCTTTTGCCCGTACGGTCCACGTTGTCATTTCATTCACAATAGCGAAGAGACAAAGCAAAATCTTCTCAATAATCTTCAGATAGGTAATCTCCCGACCATGCCTACACGTCCCAAAGCTTTATCGTTAGGTAGCTTCAGCCTGGGTTCAGTCGGCGATCCTTCACCGCCTTCCAGCTTAAGTGGAAGTCCTACGTCTCTAAATAGTTTCTTCGGTGACGATCCTTACAATAACAGCAACACGACACCAAACATGGCCGCCAATACAGCTTTCTCTTTCTCGCAAGACTTTGCATCCCTCGTCAAACCACCTTATCCAACCGACGTGGAATCCTCCGTCTACGACATGGAAACTGCGTCACCTCCGTCACCTGTAGAGTCACTCGGATCGGATATCGAAACACTGAGCCTGAATAGTGGAAGCCCCGTACCGACTAATTCACCAATTATCGTAGACGGTAACAAAATACCCCGTCTGCCCATCTTTAGTCGCCTGGCCAACTTTCCATAATTAAGTGATGCTCAAAGAATAAAACACAAAAAAGTATATGAACAAGGGACCAAAATGTAGCACAAAATTTTTTTTTTTTTCTTCTTCATTCCCTTCTTTTCGTCGGCAAGAGAATTATGTGTATACAATGTATAATTATCCTAGCCTTTATTATTATATTATTATTATTATTATATTAATTATTATATAGCCATTCAGATAATTACAATTAAGTGAGTGCATTATTTGTACGTTTTAAAGTTAAAGGCTCCCCTCCCCCATTTTTAATTAAAAGATATCTGAAGAGCTAAAATATTTATTTAAATATATATAATTTATAAAATGCGCC